ATGGCGAGCGTTGCCTAGCCTGCGTTTCTGTCTTTTCCCTGTTTTTCTCTGTTTTTGTCTGTTTTCCCTGGTCTCTCCTGTTTTCCTATCTTTCACCTGTTTTCCCCTGATTTTTGCTATGTTTTCCCATGTTTTTTCCTGCTTTCTCCTGTTTTCGCGGTTTGTAATGTTTTCCTTTATAAAATAACTAAGATCTGATTGGCCGAAAGGGGTGTTTGCATGAGAGTATGCAAACATGGTTGTGGCGTCAAAATGTTTTGCTTTTCGCGCGCTGATCACACAAGCACATATTTGAAAAAGTTTTTGAGTTGAAAACTCGATACATTTACTTTATTTACCCACTCCCTCGTCGGCTGAAACTTGGAAAATCTTCGGAAACATGCTGTGTCAATTTTTTTTTTCGATTAAATTAAACCGACATTTTAGACGAGAAAAACCCGTATTTTTGGAAAGCATCTTTGTTTCAAAACAAGAACTGATTACGCATACAAGCTTGGTGTACAAGACTTTGCAACAGGTAGGAATTTGTCTTTTAATCACTGCCCTAAACAAAGAGTTTTGCATTTTTTATCGGGAAAGTTATTTTATGAAAGCAATAGGAAAGATTTTTCCTGTATTTGCATAGCCTGATATAAACACTCGAGGGGTTGGGAGAATTCTCGACAGTTATGTGTAACTCTCGAATTCTCCCAACACTTCTCGTGTTTATATCAGGTCATGCAAACGCGGAAAACGTTTTCTATTGCTTAAGTGTTTTCTCCTGCTTCATCCTGTTTACTTATATTTCCACTTGATTTCCTCTGTTTAACACTTAAGAATAAAAATAAGCGAAAAAAGAGTTTAACACAACGTTTCGATGTCGCCATGACATTATTATCAAGTGACAAAGATAAAACTAAAATTTGACGTAATACATACGGTTTACAGTGACAAAATAAAGAACAAAGGAAACGTTGTGTTAAACTTTTTTTACTTATTTTCATTCATAAGTGTTTAACAAAATTTCCCTTGTTTGCTCTTGTTTAAAGTTCTTCGCTGTTATTCCCTGTTTTCCGCTGTTTTCTACTTTTTTTCTGTTTTCCCCTGTTTTTCCCCTGTTTTGGGGGGCTAACCCCAAAACAGAGAAAAACACAGTAAAACAGAAAAAGAAAGGAGAATCCAGAAAAACAGGGTAAAACAAGAGAAAACAGAAAAAAAGCACCGGGAAACAGTAGAAAATATATAAAAACAGTGGAGCAAGGGAAAACAGACTGCGAGGAAAACAGGAAAAACATGGGATAACAAGAGAAAACAGATAAGAACAGTGAAAACAGTGGAAAACAAGGGGAAAACACCGGAAACAGGGACAAACACAAGAAAAACAGTGGGCAAAAGGGGAAACAGGCAAAAACAGGGCAGCCAGGAAAAACAAGGGGGAAAAGAGGAAAACATAAATAGTCAAGAAAATAAAGGTATGGAAATATTTTTTTTATTCGGGACAACTTATGGAGTCTTACATTACATACTGAACGAAATTCAATTGCATAACAGTAGACATATTGTTGGAATATAGCGACGATTGTTCTTAGTTTTCATTGAAAAAAATAGCAAACTTAAATCACAGCAATGACAGTAAACGCGCTCAATCTCGTGTACATAAATTGGGTGACAAAATCCGGCTATCGTTTTCTATCCAGCAAGATTAATGGAAGTAATAAACCATTGGTAGGCTGTAAGAAAAAAAGAAAAAGAAAAGATTTCTGGGTAGTTATTCAGTTTGATGGCAACCAGCGGAAGGCCGAAGCGGAAAAAAGATTTCTGAAGAACTGTTCAATCTTATTGCGCGAAAAAGAGGGAATAATACCTCAGTAGAACTCTATACTATTTAATACTGACTCGATACTGACCCAGTTTTTAGCCAGTTTTGATCTGAAAGGCTAAGTTAAAACTCTTTTTGGTAGCTCCAACGTATTATCACGTGAGCATCACGCCTCGAAGAAATACATACAGTCGAAGCTCTCCTTGCGACCACTCTCGAAAGTGACCAGCTCTTGTTACGTCACGACCACCTTTGTGAAACCCCGTTTTAACTGTGACTTAAACTTTGTAATGAAAAGCTCTCTTTGCGACCGTTCCTGCAAGCGACCGCGACGACTTCTGGGATTACTCAACTGGACTTTACCTTTGTTTTTAAGCTCTCGTAAGCGACCACCCAGAGTCTTAATCAATATACTAATATTTAGATTTGGGATTATTGTGGTCTTAAAACCCGGACATAAAGTTTAGCCGTGTCTAAATCAGATATAATCTAAGACACTCATTAAACATTGATTTAAACAGTGATTTAACATTGATATAGTTACCTTTCTTTTTTCTTTATAAATTATTAATGAGCTTCTGAAGCTCTCGTAAGCGACCACCCTATATTGTTTTACGGATAAAGTCGCTTACAAGAATTGCTTACGATTGAGCGCTTCTTCTAGTAAGCGACCAGCTCTGGTGACGACCACTTTTTCCAATCTCTGAGGTGGTCGTTTACGAGATCGAGAGCTTCGACTGTAACTTGTAAACCCTTGCGTAATTCGGTTGAGCAGTCAAGTTAAGCTCTCAAGCACTCATGTACTCAAGTTCCGGGCGCCAAGACTGGTTGGGTGTTCAGCTGTGAATATATCTTGAGCCCGGGGGGGGGGAGTACTTCCTTGTACGAGACTAATAGGGATGTGCTGCTAGATGGGGTCGCATTTTCACTACTGGATTGACTATAATTGGGTCGCATTTTCAATAGAGTCACTGGGGTCGCACATTTTCGGATTTTTTGGGGTAAGACAGTTCTTCATATTTACGTTAAGCAAACATACGAGAATGTTTGTACTGCAGATGAAAAGTAAGGTGTTCTTCCTTCAATCTAAAAAATGGCTCAGTTCATAAAAATAGAAAGTGACTAAGTTGCGAAAATAACATATTTGCCCAAAAGTGACTAAGATGGGATCTATAATTGGCCTCAGAATAGACTATAATGAGGCAGGGGCTCTAATAGGACAGCGGCACATAC